GTAATTAGTCTTTCCAAGCCAATTATAACATACTTTTGGAGGGATTGTATTCAAGAGTACGATGATTTGATCAATATGTAAATTAGTTAGTACATTGGGTCCATCGGATTCAACCAAACACACTCTTAGGGGTGTTTGGTATGGGGGTATGGGGGGCTTGGCAAGATGATGACCCTGGGTTTTGGCTGCTGAAAGCGGTAATAGCCACGGCATTAGATTTGCCCACATTGAATTGGAAGTGAATGAGACCCACCGGATACACAAAGACATCTCCTTTGCGTAGGACCTTGGTGAAGAGGCGGTTGCGAAGATCGGAATTGGAAGTGACAAAGCCAACATGGAGGGGTACCCTCTAGGACAACACGGATTTCGGTAGCACAAGGGTGGCTATGGGGTGCATTGAGGCCATTGGGGTCATAGTCAATACGAACTAATGAGATACCAAGAGTGTGTGAGTCCTGGGATTTGTTCAACGTTTACTTGAGTCACATTCAACCCAACTCGATTTGATGTACTTCTGGGAATGTGGAGACCGAGCATCCTGGGACCAGAAAAGTAGAAATCATCAGCTGTGGCAAGCTTTGGATCCTTGCAAAACTTCTCATTCACGAACACTGCACTCATATTAATAGGTGTTTGGCAAGTTAGGGTTAGCTAACATAATATAACTCGAACAAGGGAAATCCAGATGAAAATAAAACCAAAGAGAAATCCAGATACTATAATGGAAAAGTAAAAATGTTGGCAAGTGCTTATCTACACAAATTATGCGTTATGAGTTCGAGTCCGGGAATCAACTTTTGCTAAATAAAGATAACATCCACTACTACTTACATTGATCGTAAAAACTTGTAATGTCATTGAGAATAAAAATAATGTGATAGTTAAAATCCCAAGCAATGAAAGTTGATTATTGACAGCTAGAAGAAGATTATACCTGCATCCTTGGTTTCAGCAATTGCAACACAGAAATCCTGCAACGGGCTAGGATCGGAGGCATGGGCAAAGGAAGATGCCAAAGCCACAAGGATAATGGTTAGAAGGAAGTGATTGGCCATCTTTTTTTCTTTTTTTTTGTTAATTGGCCTCACAGTATTCTTTATATATATGAAGCAACTTGTGTTTTCTATAAATGGTTGCTTGATGAGAGAGGTTTTTCTCAAATCTTAATTCCAAAATCTAGTCAGTTTTAAATTTATTTCTCAAATCCAAATTTTTTTCAAAAATATCATTTAAAATGTCGCCTTGAAATGATAAAACTTCATTTGCAATGATGATTTTATGTTGAAATTTTTTTATTGAAAACGTTATTCATAATGACATTTTTAAAAAGCGTCATTTATTATGGCGTTTTTTAACATGAATTTTTAAATGGCATGTAACAGACGCTAAAAAATAAAGGGGTTGGAAACGTCATTTGCAATGACGTTTTCTTCTCCTTTATAAACAATGACGTTTTCTACACCTTTATTTACAATGACATTTTAAAAATGTCTTCTTATTTTTTTACAATGACGTTTTCTTAGCCAAAAGTCTCCAACCACCAACTTGAATAAATTTCATAAAAGCTTTTTTGAATTTCACCTCATGATTCACCAGGCAAAAAAAAAATTAATAAATTTAAAATTTAATTTCCTTTTCATAATAATTTTGAACTTATTTTATAATCAAAAATATAATTCATAAAAGTATAATTTAATTTCAAATTTTTCAATATAAAAACATATTTGTAAAACAAATATTTAATAAAAAAACTTAAAAACGTGTTTTGAAAGCACACTTTTATATCAAAAATTATGTATTTAACTCGTACTTTACTAAATTGATTAAAAAAAATCTTAATATTATAGTCTTACTTCTCAAGTCATAAAAGCATCCCAATTTAGAGGAGTTTTTCTCTAAATCCAGTCGGCTCTAAAATTTTATTTCTCAAATCCAGTCTTTTTTTAAAAACGTTATTTTAAATGACGTTTTTAAAAACGTTTTCTTTTTTAGAAATTTGTTTTATATATGTTAAAAAATTATGTATTGCAATTTTATGTTATAAATTCATCGAGCATTTATAGTTGACCTATAATAGTGTGCAAAACTTCAAAATATAAAAAAAGATACTTATACATTAAAACAAAACAAATTTATTACAGGACACGGTAAGAAATACCAACATTCTTGATTGATTCCTGTCATCCCAACTCGGCTTAATTGCCTAGGATACCTTCCGATCAATTCTTCCCCATGTTCTGCCCTCTGAAGACAAATATCTCATAAATAAAGGAACAACACCTGAAATCCTTAAAGGATCTCCTAAAATTTCTATGGATTCAACCCAACACATCATGGTGATTCATCTACTAATAAAAAGAAGTCTAAAACATTCAATAATCAATTTGACAAATAATTTTGAAGACTCCAGAGCTTCATGAATAAAATATAACAAGAATAACAACTAACAGCCAGTATAACAGTATGAATCGGCTCTTATTACAAAGAACAATCAAACCCAATCATCTATGACACATATCTAACATGCTCCAGGTTTAAAACTTGACGCAATATCTGCAGGCTAGATGCAAGAAGCAACCAGTATGTGAAGTTGTGTATGAAAAAAAATGCATAGAAAGAAGATGCTTAAGTCTCGACAAACAAGTACACACCCATTATCCCTAACAGAATGCCTTAAAGCAGCCCTAGCTTCACCAGGCTTCCTCTCTTTCCTTTTGTCCATCTCTTGGGCCTAACAGAAAAAATGCATACATCATAAGGAAAGGAAGAAGGAAAAAACAGCAAACCAAGCCTAAATTTATCCTAACCTTCCACTTAAACTGATCATCCAACATGCTTCTTTGTGCTTCTGTCTGCTTCCCAACATATTTCCATATGTCATCACCTGAAAAATAATTTTATCAGACAATCCAAGCAGGAAGGATAAACAATAATAACAAGATGCACCCCAATAAAAGCAACGGATGAATATCCCCTTTTTGATACATATATAATGCTCTTCTAATGACTACCCATCCATATTGTTGAGCTTTTTTGAAAAACATAATTTACTAGACAATAAGTTCAACAAAATGAAAGGCTAAGCAAACAAGCGAAAAGTGGCAAATTTCATTTAAATATCTCACTAGATCAGTCTACAATAAGTGTACGACATCACAACTCACCAAGAATCTTATAACCAGTAGCTAGAGTATTTAAAGCAGCCTTCCTAGTTTCACCATCTCGTTCAGCTGTTAGATCGTTGGTGTTCTGGGTAGGTGTTCTAGATCGATTTAGGTCAAAATCGATTTAGTCTGGAATGGAGAATGGACAATGCTCAATCGCTAACTCACTTAGTCTGGAATGGAGAATGGAGAATGCTCCCTGCTCATTCACTGACTTGCTGGATGAACAATGGTTGGAGCTCGTCGGAGATAACCGTCGTTGAATGGGTGGAGCTCGTCAGAGAAAAGGCCGGCTGAGAGTGGTGAGTGGAGGAGTTCGCTCACAATAGTTTGTGGAGGAGGAGAACTCAATGTGCAAATGTTTGAAAATTTTTAACCTAGGCTGCGATTTAAAAATTTTTAAGGGAGGAGATATAATATTCAAATCGTCATTGTAAATGACATTTTACAATGATGTTTTTAACCTTTTTATTTTTTTTTTAACATCCGTTAGCTACCGTTTAAAATTCATGTTTTAAAAAAATTGGATTTGAAAAATAAGTTCAAAACTGACTGAGTTTTGAAATTAAGATTTGAGGGGGGCTAGGTTTGGGGAAAACTTCTTGATGAGAAGTGTGCAGATTTAACAGGGTATGTAATACCCCAAATTTTTGAAATATATATATAACTTAGTTTAGGTCAATTTGTGATATTATTTTTAAAAAAGGGATGTTAGTGTGATTAATAGGTGTTCTCTTGTTGCCCTAGGAGTGTACTGACATATAGATATATATATTCTTTTTCCAATATTTACACATACGTTAGAATAAGATAAAGGAGATGAGAGACTAGGGTTTTGAGTAAAGGAAAAAAAGAAGAGAAAGAAAGAAGGGGATTTAGAGAAGAAGAAAGAAAACTAGAAGATTGATCATCAAGGTTAGTCTATATGCCAAAATTTAATTTTGTATTTAATCATTATATGTACACAAATACAGGGTTGTAGTCTGATATAATATTGCAAGTAATCCATACGGGTAGGTTTATAGGATTAAAATATATGAATTCAAATATAATAGGGTGGTATTTGTGTTAAGAAGATATTGGGAAAGGGGGAAGAAAGAAAAGTTACAGACAAGCTTCTGGATACAACATAAAGTTGAAGAAGATAAAGTTTCAAAAATTATGGAAATCTCCCTCTTAGTTGTAAGTAGTTTTATCTTGATTCTTATACTTTTATAAACTCAATTTTTGAATACCATGGAACTTGGTAATTTAAAAAACTGATCCAATATATTTGAAACAAATATGGTTATGTCAAAACAGGCCTCGAGTTTTGAAATTTTTTTGAAATTTTGAAACGACCCCTAAAAGTTTCGATTAAATGTAAAAAAATCAATATTTACTCTAATAAATCAAATTAAGGTTGTATTCTTGGAAAATGGGTCTCTAGAACCTTAAATACTGTTCTGAAAATTTATGGCAGGCCCGAAAACAAAACATTCGTATTTAAGGAAATTACACTTGGACCCCAAAATTTTCAAAAATTATGATTTTACCCCAAAACTTTAGAAACTTTTTTTCAAACAGTGCAGAATGCTTCCATACGCTGTTACCTCATATTAGAAATGAAATTTATATGTAAAATATATATTTAGTATATATCAATGGGTGATAAGTATAAAAACTAAATATAGAATCGTGAAATCACGAGATTAGGAAAAGGGATTGAATATTTTATATTATTTTGAATTAGATGGTGATTGCATTGAGGTTGGTAAAGAGTGCTTTGAATTGGATTTTAGAAATCAAGGTGAGTAGTTTACTACTTCTTTTGGGAGAATTTTCTATATTCAATGTGTAGGTGCGTGCGAGTGAATTTTTCATATATATGATATATGTGTTGATATTTGGGATTGCAATTAAATGTTTTGAAATTTTGAACTATTATACATGTGAATTGTGGAAAACTTGTGGGATGATTTTACATCATTGTTTTGGTGATGAAAGGGAAAATTTTGTGTGTTGGGATTAAAACTATAGTTTTGAGGTGTGTGTGTGTGTGTGAATCATGTTTATGAGACGGTGACTGGGGTTACCAGGTTTAAGTGGTAACTAGCGATTGGGACTGGGGTTATCAGGTCTAAGTGGTAACAAGCGATTGGGCCAATCATCAGACTAGTGATGACAAGAGACTAGACCAGTTACCAGGCTAGTGGTAACAAGAAACGAGATCAGTCATCAGGCTAGTGATGACAAGAGATTGGGTCAGTTATCATGCTAGTGGTAACAAGAGACTGAGTCAATTACCAGGTTAGTGGTAACAAACATGATTTGACAAATGTGTTTGAAATTGATTACGTGTGAGTGTTTTGAGTTATAATTGTCTTTTTATTTATAAAGTTATTTGTGATCATGAAATCATTTTGTTTAAATGATTATATGAGAGGGGTTGAGGTACAATTTGTTGTACTTATGTATGTATCAAGTTTATTTTTGGTATATAAACTGTGGGAGTTATTTTCATACCTCATTAGAGGTGGTTGCAACTCACAGGCCTTTGTGCTCACCCAAACATTCATTATTTTTCAGGTAAGGATCAGGAGGAGAAGTAAATCCTCGAATAGACAAAGGATTAGAGGAATTGAAGATTTATTTTATCGTAGGTCTTCAAGAATAAATGTCTTTCGTAGTTTTGAAACAAATATTCAATTATTTTCTGAACAATGTTATTTATGCTTAGAGTAGTGAACTTTATAGTTTGATTATTATTTTACATGGGTTTAATAATAATGTTGGTGATGTTAGTTTATTCTTCTGGTATTCATTATGTCGGTAGAATGGATCACTTTATTATTTGTTTTTCGATGTATTTCGCATTTATTATGCACAAGAATGATTAGTTAAGGCTTTGG